ACAGCCTTCTTTGATCATATTTACCAAGGGTGCCAATAATTCTGACCACGACTGTATATATATATATATATAAAGTGAATTTCTTAAATAAAACGAATACAATTGTTATAGCTGTACATTTTGCAGTCCTGCTTTATAACACAGAGCAGTAACAGTGATTGAAGCAGACTAATTAAAAAAGACTAAAGAAGATCAACTTACATTTCTGATGGTTGCTATGAAGAGTAGTATTGCTGAGGTGATGTGGAAGAGGATGATCAAGGCCAAAATAATCAACATGGCTGATGGTGGAACTGAAAATCAAAAGCTGGAGAATCTGGGGGAAAAAAAGAAGATACAAAAATATAATAATCCTGTTAAATGAATACAAAGCTGAGACTGAGAACTGGAACTGTTGGTTAACATTAGTTAAGTACATTACATGAATTAACAATGACAAATACATCTAAAGCATATTACAATCTTAATGTAAATTTGAAATTATTACCAATACATTATTATGTAATGGACCCCGATTCAACATGAATTAACAATGAACAAATGTATTTTGTAGTAATGTTAACAAAGATTAATAAATACTTATGCATTGCTCATTTTAAATAATGTGATCGTATAGCGTTACCAGTTAATTATATTATTAGTTACCTATTTCTGTTTTGCACACTTGCTAGACCTTGCACCAATAATGCAAATTGAAATCAAATAAAATAAATGTCATACATATTTAAACACGCAAAAACAATACATAGCCAAACAATTTCATATTATTTAATCAAATGTTTTTAGCGTCGAGTTTAAGAAGCTACATTCATTTTGTCCGATTTTATCGATCATTCAAGTACAAAGGAGCCAAATCTAAATCCTCATGCAGGTTTTGCTGAAAAACACAGCCAGCTTCTGCTTACGTCACACACGTGAGCCTCAGAGTCGGCTGCTAATTTAGCTTCCCATGATTCACTGCACTACAGCCACATACAGACAGCCTATACATCTCAGCCTATACACCGAGCCATTTATGAATGGCTTTTTCCCCCTTCACCTTGTATAGTGGGTGTGAGTTTATACTGGAGGTGAGAAACTCATTTTTTACACTGAAGTGCTTTAATGTTCAGTACTTGAGGATACAATAAATGTAAAAAAAAAAAAGACACCCCAAAGGACGATATCACATCAGCACTATGTCTGTGAAATACACGTCCTAATCGCCTTTGCAAAAACCATATGTGGTGAACAGGATTTTAGCAGTTTACTAGGATACAAAATCCTTTACAGTTACATGATTTAGTTTGAGACACGTAGCAGTGTTAACTAGACATACACAAGCAGAACTGTAAACTCTCTCTGACATACTAGTAATAAGACTAATAAGATAATATCTAATAAGTCTAGTTTACACAAGGCGTATTGCAGCAGGAACAGACGTATGACTAAAGGATTTAAAAGATGTAGTGTTCAGAAAATATACAAATCTCTGGGTCTTTTCTTGGTAATAAAAAAGGATACAGAAGGAGGTAAATGAACATAGTGAAAGAAAACTGATATAATCAGCAGGTGAGTATCAAAGACAATGTTTTCCTCCTTTAAAGCATACACATCTTCCTCATTTCCTTGTTATACGGCTTATACACCACCAGATCATCAATCAACTACCTTTTAATTAAGTTGATAAAATAATTAATCTTAATTATGAAGCTGTTTTGCTCCAGGTGTATGAATCTGACCTGAGGTGGCGCTATTGAGCCAAGATGTGAAAACTCTCCACAATTATCATGAAGCATCAAGTGGGGGGATATATTTACACAATATAAATAGTAAAATGTCAAATCTGCTCATTATCGTACAATAAAAGCAAATAGTGACCATGAATGTCAAGCAACATTTTCAAGTAAAGAGCATCTTAAATTTCAATCTGTTCTTTACATAGCAATTGTATGGCCTCACAAGCACAGGTCATACAGACTACTTTTGATATGCTTTATGATGTTTGACATCCCCATTTACAACTCAGTTTCACGGTGTAGAAACCTTTCTCATTTGGTGTTGAAGACGGAAAGTCAATACAGGTTTGGAACAAAAAGTGGAAGCGTATATAATGGCTTTCATTCGTGGGTAAACTGTCTCTTTAAGAAGCCATGTGGGAGACAGGATGTGGCATTTCAGCAATGCAGGGTTTAGGCGGGAAAATGGTTAAAGAATGGAGGGTTTCTGTTTGAGCTCAGCTTAAAGAAAGCAAAGAAACATTCACAATTACAGCACACAAGCAAGCCAGAAAGATTCAGCCAGCACAGTCATAATTAATGAGACGTGAATCGGCTCACAGGATGCCAGCCTCAGTACACAAGGGAGACACAATGTGGGAGGGTACAGGTCAGGATGACGCTCATCTAGTACAAGTTTCTCAGAGCAGTCTACAAACACAGGCCTGAAAACCCTTTCTTTTTTAACTTTCACAATTTCTTCTAAGGTCAGGGAAGGTACTGGGAACAAAATTAAGCGTAGGCATTTATAAAGTCTGAGAATATTGGTCATTTTTTCAGAGCCTGTAGTGGAAATCCTCTGGAGACCTTCCCCACATTAGCTGTCTGTCTCTGTAGAGTGTAATGTAGGAGGCTGGTCTCATTAAATCGTAGTGTATCGTGTACTCGGTCTACACATGGTCTTAATTTTCTCTTCAGCTGCTTTCCTGTGTTGTACTGAGAGACGTAGAGGGCTGGAAGCGGAGGAGGAACGTGAGACTCAAAACATGCTGTCCAAACATCTGTGATCTGAACGAGGAAATGTGTTGAGCAGATGATTCTGAGATCTAAAAAAAACCCGAAAACTTTGAATATTTGAATCATGCATTTTTGGAGACTGAAGCTTTCAATCTTGAAAAAGGATGCAAGGAAGGCAAAATAAATTAAGTAGTTATAATGAATCCAGATGACTTAACTTCCTTAATAAAGGTCTTAAAGTTACTCCTTTTTTTCATGTATTTTTCATCTGAGATTGTAGCAATCTGTTTGGATCACTGCATTTCCAAGAGCTGCTGGGAGACGCCTGTTAATTTGCTGAAATCCATAATGGCGCAAATGTGGCATTTAACGCACAGAGAACCCGTGTTTTGTTACTAGCGGCTCTGTGAATGGTGAGAAATTGAGGAAGAAAATTCCCGTCGATGGTTAAGAAGTGAGGAAAATGAAACCCTTTGACTAGACAGAGGCCCACCAAACACAGAATACATGAGGAAGAACATACTGAAAATTGTATGTTGGCTACACAGAGGGATAATCGTCTGTGCACAGTCCCCTCAGGCCTTTTCCGGGACAAAGGATCTACTGTAGAGGTTACACGGCAAGCGTGGAATCAGCTTCACGGGTGAACCACTTCAGCCTTCACAGGATCTGTGTACCTGTAATTATCAAAAGAGGCGATACCACGATCACACGGGTCTTAAAGGAATACTCCAGGTTCAGTACAATTTAAGCTCTATCGGCAGCATGTTGATTATCATGAATTTTGTGTAACATTGAGGCATTTAATGTATGTGAATAGGGCCAATCCATAAACTTTAAAATGTTAATGCTACGTTGCATGCAACACACATAATTTGCTTACAAATCTTATGTTATTCATATTTAAGTTTACATTCAAAAACTCCTCACTATGACAACATAAAGCCTAAAACTTTAAAGGTAACTTAAAAATGGTAATGTAAACAGCTTTACAGCTCAAATCATGTTCAAGTTTTAACAGAACAATTAATGTAAGTTCTTTTATAAAATAAGCTTCACATTTCTGCTTTTCATTCCTTCAGAATTGCCCCAGGGTTACTATTGTTAACAAAAACTAAATCTAAAACTATTAAAACATTTGTTTTAATTGAAATAAAAATGAAATTAAATGTAATGTGCTAATGACCAAAGCTACTATAATTTACACTGAACTAACATTAAAATGAAAATATTAAAATAAAAGCTAATTATAATGTTAATAAAAACTACTATAGTAAATAGATAATACTAATAACACTGCTGAACTTGAATTGAATCTGGTATTTTCCTTTAATTGGAACTGGATTATGTGTATATAAATGAAACAAGTGAGGGCAGAAAGAACTGCAACCACTGTGATTACATAAGTACAATCTAGACACCTTTTGTGGCTTTTATAAATAAATATGTCAGTTCTGTACATTAAATCAATCATTCAGGCTGAAGACAAATCACAGACTGTACCACAGCTGCACAAGACAACGAGAAAAAAAAAATCCAGCATTAGCTCAGCCTCATAATAGAGTTGGGGGTATGGGGGTGCTGAGGCCCTGTTATAGTTTATATAGGCTGAGACATGAAAACCTATGAGCGTTTGTCTTGGAAACTGGCTGTGGAGTTTCAGTTCGCTATGTACAATCCTGCGGGATGATAATGACAGCCATACCTCCCAAGCCTAGAGGTTTCCAGAGAATTTACAAACCATCATTAGTAAATTAATTGGAGTCTGCGCTTTAAAAGGTAGCAGATAAGCCATGTCGACTTATTTCTGCATTGGGAAATGTCTGCATATGTATGTGTATAAACACTAAGGAGCCCCTGCTCATTTCTCCTAACCTTGGTGGAAAATGCTGACTTGAGTTTCACTTTTAATGTCATTTTTTTCGTAAAAGCCGCAGTCTCCAGCAGGCTTCCAAGTCGGCCACTGCTGAAAACAGAAACTGCTGTCATGGACCAAATGATTGAGACGAGAAGGAAAGCTTCAATGCCACCCAGCAAAGTTTAGCAGCTTTAATCCAGTGCATGTGTTCTGTACATCATTTATGACCAGGGCTGGATATCGGAACTGATTAACAGATTTGTTTACATTCTGATTCAGTTAAATGTTGATTCATTTAGGAATACTTTGTCAATGTATGTGCTTCAATTATTAAATAATTGCTGTAAAGGGACATTTTACCCCAAAAATTGAAAATTCTATCACATTTTACTCACCCTAATGTAGTTTCAACCCTATTCCAAGAATATTTCTGGAAAAAATTGTTTATCATTAAATAGACAAAAAAAGTCACTTCTCAATATCTCTTAGTCATACAGGTTTGAAACTACATGAGGGTGAGCAAATAATGACAGATTTATCATTTTTGGGTGAACTATCCCTTTAATGTGCAAAATTGATTAACTTTTTTTTCCAAATGTGCATATTTTGCTGTCTTTATGTTACGGAAAGTAACGTGAATGCTGATTGGCTGCTAAACAGTGGTGGTCCATTTAAGGAGGCTGATATATAAATCATTATTGACTATCGTAACGAAGTGAAAGATTACAGCACATTTTATTTTTA